TTCTAGTCCAGCTGAGAGTGACAGGGCAATCTGACTTGGTTTCTTCAGAAATGAATTTATGTCTCTACCATATTAGAAATCAAAGTCCCTAGCAGTGATTTCTCAAGTATTTGCTTTTTGGGGCGGATTTTAACAAACACCAAAGAGAAGACAGGGGTAATTATTTTTATTTATTTTTTTTAAAGATTTTATTCATTTATTTGACAGAGACACAGCCAAGAGAGGGAACACAAGCAGGGGGAGTGGGAGAGGGAGAAGCAGGCTTCCACTGAGCAAGGAGCCCGATGTGGGGCTCGATCCCAGGACCCTGGGATCATGACCTGAGCTGAAGGCAGACGCTTAACCCATGGAGCCACCCAGGCGCCCCAGGGGTAATTATTTTAATGCGGTTGAAATTTATGTCACATTTCTTGTCAGAAACTACCAAAAACCCTTCATATGACACTGCAATTTACAACAAATTATGGTTACCTTAATAACTTAATCCATTTGGTAAGAATGTACTGAGAGTACTCTAGTAGCAACACAAACTATTTTTAGCTGCCATCAGTGACTAGATAATTGTCTTCCTGTTTATTTCAATTCCCAGTTGAACGCAAGTGGTGTATGTGGGGTCTCTGGAAGCACCCATCAGATTGAATATTGCCAACAAAGAACAAACCTCGGGAGAAAGTGCTTGAGGGAATTTTGAAACACCATGAAATAGACATGATAAGAGAAATTAAAGATTATTTCTCAAGATTTATTGCATTTACTCATTGGTATTCTCTTGTTTTTTCATCTCACTGTTTTCTATGGCTTTCTCTAAGTAGATCTCTAAATGAAGTCTCTTTGCTTATAGAGTATATATTCAAGCAGACTACTTGTCACTGGCTGGGACAAACCAGGGAAAAGCTGGTCTTCTTGCCTTTCTTTCCCCACCGAGGTGCCTTTTACTCACCTCTTTGTTCCCCTCCTGTAGGACTACTGGGCTATTTCGATGCTTCATTCCCCACTACTGCTCACCCTCTCATTTAATTCTCACCAAGGGTTGTCAGATGTAGCAAATAAAAATACAGGGTGCCCTGTTAAGTGTGAATTTCAGATAGATAATATTTTTAGTATAAGTCTGTCCCTGCAATACTTGAGACATATTTACACTAAAAAAATGTTATTTATCTGAAATTCAAATTTAACTCATAGTCCTGTACTTTACCTGGGAACCCTGCTCTCAACCCTGTGGATTACAGGTGGCTCTAACAGCTGCCTGGTCCCTCTTACTGAGAGCTCTATCTGCTTAAGTCCCAGCCTAGATGAATACCCAAATCTAAATATCACCATTTCATCACAGTGGTGTATGTTCCTCATTCCCTCAGGGGCACCCTTAGATGTCTTTCACTCTAGGAATTCCAAATTACTGAAGGACAGCTGAAATACCAGATCTGAACTCCATTTAGCTTTGCCCTCAATTACTCTGATAATATTAATTTTTAGCCAATGAATGTAAGACTCACCCTGATGGACCAGAATTCAGGTGCCCATATAACACAATCTTCCTTTCCATTCCTGCTTTACAATGAAACTATTAGGGAAAAAAGAAATCTAACGTGAACATACACGACGCATTTTATGGTGCATTAGGACAATTTTTTAAAAAGTGACACACCTGTTATAGAACCAAAGAGCAAGTCATTCTATTGAAGCGCAAACTTGAAGACAAAAATTAATTTAACATGACGAACGAGGCACTAGAGGTGAGGTAGTGCCAATGTAGTCCTGAGTGAATCGTTAACTCAGGCTTCCCCTTTGAGATCTTCTCGCTCTGGGGTCCAGAGAACAGCAGCAAGGAAAAGAGAGTATAAATTCAGGAGCATGTCAGAGGGAAGCACAAAGCACTTCAGAAGTATTTTTCAGTGGTAAGAATCAATGCCCTCTCAAAGCCTTCATTTGTTCATAGCTGACTTAAAAGATACTGTCAATCCAGGGCACAACTTTCCTTTTTTTGTTTTCTTCAGAGCACAGCTTTTAAAAGAATTCCTCTTCCCGTTGTCTCGGACCTTGCTTGACAAGTAGCTTTTTCTTTTCCACTCAGGTTATCAGAACACAAAAGGCAGCCTAAGTGTTGGGTACCAGCTGCCTTCCTTCCTTCACATCTCTGCATTCGCGAGGGTCCTGTGTCAATGTGATTTACCCTAATCAGTCCTAGAATTCCCCTACTCCTGGACAAAGAACAGATGCACCTCAATTCCTGTCAAGCAGAAATTAGGATTTTTAAAAATTTTATTCTTTAGTTATCTCTACACCTAATGTGGGGCTTGAATTCACCACCCTGAGATCAAGAGTCACATCTTCTTCCGACTGAGCCAGCCAGGAGCCCGAGGGTTGGTTGGTTGGTTTGTCTGATTTAAGATTTATTTATTTGAGAGAGAGCACAAGTGAGAGGGGCAGGGGAAGAGGGAGAGAGAATCTCAAGCAAACCCCTCGCTGAGTGTGGAGCCCTACGCAGGGCTCCATCTCAGGATCTCAGGATCATGACCTGAGCTGAAACCAAGTCAGAGGCTTAACCAACTGTGCCACCCAGGCGCCCCCTAGGGTTTTATTTTTGAATAGTATTAAAGAGTTCAAAAGTAAGGTAATTTCCCTACCCAATTTTCTACATTGATAAGCCATTTTACAAACGTGGGCCCTTTAGAGAGGTACTCCCTTGTTTCTTTGCTCTCATTCTACCCCCTTTCTTTTATGTGGCTAACAAAGTTCCTAAATCTAAATACTGGATGCTCCACCATTCAGTCTGAATTTTTATGAACTACTCTAGCCTAAATCAGTGTACAGAAGGAAGAATATTTGGCTGGGAATCAGAGGTGGGTTACAGTTGAAATGTCTTTCCTAACTAGCTGTGGGATCCACAGAAGCCTTTACATCTTTCTGGGTCTGTCCCTCCTCTATAAAATGCTACTGTTGGACTTTATGTTCTTCAAGTTTCACTCCTACTCTAAAGTTCTAGGATTCCTTTTGTATCCTCCCCCATTCTACATTTGCTCCTTGTGAGGTATTTGCATTAGGCTTTTAGATTTAACAAATGCTTTTTTCTTTTTAAAAATTTTCTGAAAACTAGGACAGTGCCTTTAGAAAAAGTTTAATTCACTGAAAGCACAGTTTTCTAAGTATGTGATTTATGAAATTTAGAAAATAAGCAGATTGGATTTATGAGAACTTTCTGAGCCTCAGCATCTTCAGTATTATCAGTTTATTAAACACTTTCCTGGAGAGCTATTTTGTCTAGGCATGCAGCAGTGTAGGATCCAGTAAATGGATAAGGAGATGAAACATCCCCTCCTGTGTTTTTCCTGGATAGTTTCTCTCTGCATACTACACATCCTACTTATATTTGTGTAGACGGTTTTATGTAAATGAGGTAATTTACTTGTTTATTTCATGTAAATAATTCTTTTTTAAAAGATTTATCTATTTATGAGAGCTCTAAAGAGAGAGCATATGTGCAAGTGAGTGGGGTGGGGGCAGAATCTTCAAGCAGATTCCCTGCTGAGTGAGGAGCCAGAAACAGGGCTCAATCCCATGACCCATGCATCATGAGACCCATGCCCATGATATCATGACCTGAGCCAAAACCAAGAGCCGGAAACTTGACTGACTGAGCCACCTGGGCACCCCTAGATGATTACCTTTTTTTTTTTTTTAAAGATTTTATTTATTTATTTGAGACAGAGAGAATGAGAGAGAGAGAGAGAGCACATGAGAGGGGGGAGGGTCAGAGGGAGAAGCAGGCTCCCTGCCGAGCAGAGAGCCCGACGCGGGACTCGATCCAGGGACTCCAGGATCATGACCTGAGCTGAAGGCAGTCGCTTAACCAACTGAGCCACCCAGGCGCCCAGATGATTACCTTTTTAATGTTAATATTTTTTGATATGTTGTTGTAAATACATCCATTTCAAGTATTTAGTGTGATAAATTTTGACTAATATACATATACACCTAAGTTAGCATCATCCAGATCAATATATAGAACTTTCTATCACCCTCCAGAAAGTTCTCTTGTGCCCTTGCCTCAGGAAACTACTATTGTGATTTTTATCACCACAGATTGATTTGGCCTATTCTTTTTTTTTCTTTTTTTAAAGATTTTATTTGAGAGAGAGAGACAGTGAGAGAGGGAACACAAGCAGGGGGAGTGGGAGAGGGAGAAGCAGGCCTCCCGCAGAGAAGGGAGCCCGATGCGGGGCTTGATCCCAGGACCCTGGGATTATGACCTGAGCCGAAGGCAGACACTTAACGACTGAGCCACTCAGGCACCCCTGGCCTATTCTTGAATATTAAACCATACAGTATGTATGTATGATTAAGTAAAGAACATCAAGTACTGGGACATGAATATTTCCAGTTAAAATCAAGGTCCAGTGAGGTGTATGATGGCTGGCAAGCAGGTAAAACAGAGGAAAATATGAAAAGTTATGACTTGTTAAACTAAGTCAAACTTGATTAAATGAAAAAAAAAAAAAAACTGTATCCTTTAAAAAGCTCTCATATACTGAGTGATGGAATTAATAGTGTTCACAAACTATTGAACCAACTTGAAAAAGGCATTGTAGAATGAAGAACAAATGACCACAGGCTAAAGAGAATGAACTGCTCCTTTTCCTCCAACCCAAATCATTGGATGGTAAGTAAGTCGCTAATAAGCTTCTGATACCTTGGCCAGTTTATCACAGAGAACATTAAGTGATTCAGTGTGAGCAGGAGATAATCTGTACAGGATGAGATGATATTGGAAATGGGAGAAGGAGTTTAGCAACAACATGAGCAGCCTGGGCCTAGATGCATTGATTCTGCTATTGGGGGACCTGGAAGGTAAGGTCAGGAGTAGCAAAATGGATATCAGAAGCACTTGTTGCCCAAGTAAGTGGAGTAGCCGGCCCACCAGCAGAAACGTAGGCTTCACTCTGCCTTGAGTTCCCCAAGTCTGGATAAGTCTCCAAAAACAAATGCAACTGGTTATGAAAAGATTTTATATTTTATTTCATTAAAAAAAGTCAATCTGTTGACATGCAAACCAACTGGACCAAACAGGACAGAGTGGATCACGCAGGAGCACTGCTAAACAAGCATCAACTGAAGTGCTCTGACGCCAACCAGAAGGGCACCCCAACACAAGTTTAGCATGGGGGAGAGTCTTCACGTCTTTCGGCGAAGGCAAAGCCATTTGGTTGGCACTTCATAGGAGTATCTTTCCACCGTGTTTTCATCATATGGTATGTGCCACGAGTCTCCAGTTGTTTGTACCACTGTGTCATAACAGGGGATATGCTGTTGAATTAAAAAGGGAACCAAACATTGAGAACAACACTAAGGGGTTACCTGGCCATTTCCCTTTCTTTTCTGACAATTTCTCAGCTTGCTTCAGGAGCATTCTCTCTTACTTAACAATGGATTTTCAGAGAGCAGCTAGCTCTGTGAAGATGAACCCTAGAATTAGGGGTCCCTTTTTTTTGGGGTGGGTTCGTTTTTAAGGTTAAAGATTCTCTATAGTATTACATTTATAGGCGATAGCATCTCTTTACTTGCCTTTATCAGCTTTGTATGGGAGAGAAAGATTTCATATATTCAAAAGTAGAGAAACAGTATAATGAACTCCCAGGTACCACCCAGCTTCAACAATTACCAACACATGGCTAATTTTATTTCATCCATACTACCCCCCATGATTATTGTGAAGCAAATCTCAGATATTATATCACTTCTTCTGTAATATTCAATATGTACCTTTAAAAGATAAGATCCATTTTATAAATAAAAGTTCAATACTATTATTACACTTAAGAGTTAATAATTCCTTATCATCAGATATCTACTATTCACATTTCCCCAATTATTACATGTGCATACACGTATTTTTACAGTTGATTTCTTTGAACAGGAGTTGAAATTAGGTTATGACTGAATTATCTCTTAATTTTATTTTTTAAATTTAATTTTATGATGTTACATTAATTACCATACATTACATCATTAGTTTTTGATGTAGTGTTCCATGATTCGTTGTTTGTGTATAACACCCAGTGCTCCATTCAGTACGTGCCCTCTTTAATACCCATCACCAGGCTAACCTATCTCTTAATTTTAAATAGTGCTTTACTTTTCATCTCTATTCTCGTAATTTTTTGTTGTTGAGAAAACCAAGCCAGTTGTCCTATATCGTTTCCCAAGTCTTGATTTTTTTGTATAGATCTGTTGTTTTGTATGTTTTTTGACCATTGGACCGTATTTACCATTGACTAGTGTATTTTTCCATAATAACTCGCCTTTGGATTTTCTCCCTTTGCTTCACACAAGAGACATTCCTTGTATTTGCAGGAATCTAAACTAGAATCAAAGGAGAACTCAGTTGAGACCATGCTGCAGAAGCGGATTAACAGGAAAAAGGAGTTGCTTAGCAGAAATATGATGAACCAGAAAGGATAAGGAATTTTCAGCTATCGCAAATAAATAGGAAAATAAAAAATATGTATGAAAATAAAAAACAAGTATTATAATCAGTGACATAATTGAAGTCACAATTGATGACATCTCAGATGTTTTCACTATGTCAATTAATATGGGGCTGGTCTATGAAAACTTTTGCCCTGGCCGACTTTCTGTTTCCAGGAACTGGCTAATTCCAAATACCAACCTACAGCTGAGAAAAATAAAGCATTTAAAACCTCCAACTAGTAGCAACATTCTTTGACTGTGCCACACTCTGTTGACATTATGTAGAGAACAAATAACATACCTGAAAGGTTATTTTTGATCCTGCAACCCTATTAATAATTGCTAGCTGATGTCCCTGCTGCCACTTAAAGAAGAGGCGCTGGGTCTTGGCATCACGTAGACAGGCCTTGTGGTCCCGCATCAGATCTTTTGTGATAAATTTGCAGTGGTTCCCCGAGTGCAGTGTGGCATACAGAAGGAACGGATCATCCTCTGAGCTGAGCCAGGCAGAAGAAAGAATACAATCACACACAGCCCCAAGGAGGCAGAGGATAGCATTCGTTACCACGCTTTTTACTTCTTATTCTACTTTGCTCAGAGGAGCTCTGCATTCTTTTTTTTTTTTAAGATCTTATTTATTGAGAGATAGAGAGAACACAAGCTGGCGGAGGGGCAAAGGGAGAGGGACAAGCAGACTCCCCGCTGAGCAGGGCGCCCCACGCGGGAGTCGATTCCAGGACCCTGGGATCATGATCTGAGCTGAAGGCAGATGCTTAACCGACTGAGCCACCCAGACGCCCCAGTGCTCTCATTCTTAAGTGACATGATCCCAGTGATGCTTATAAACCAACCACCTCCAAGTCTTTTGGTAGTAGACAGCACTATCTAGAATACAAATGGAAAGCTAAGGGGAAGGGAATGCAAATGCTCAACTTGGCTCAGTTGGGTTCTTCCACTAAAATGGAAAATTCTAACAATAATTCCCTCTTCACATTCAAAAGCTGGTTCTCTGTGTGCCCCGGGTGTTGTTCCTATTGGCCTTATCCACCACGGAGCACACCCTCCCCCCCAACCCCCACTCAAACTCGAAAAATGTTCATAATATTAATAGGACAGGATGACACTTCCTTGCAAGCTACCAAAAATAATGGGCTGCCTCAAAGCTAAAATTGGTATCTCAAAGCAGCTTCTGGGAAGTCACCCAGATCCGCAACAGAAGGCATCACCTGCTTTGAGAAGAGCCACTGACTCAGAGTCTCCAACGGACCCTCAGCTTCAGCACTCAGCACTGGAGGAGGTATGCTATAAGAACAGCAGGGGCTGCCTTGGCTCAGGACACTCGGACCGCAGCATGGGATAGGTCTTATGCCTTGATCCAAATGACCCAAAGTGGGACCATTTGATGTTTATTTTATACTAAACTATTGCAAATGAAATGATAAATGACTGGAATATATCTGCCTTAAAAATCTTCAGGAAAGAGAGGAAAAGAAAAAAATAGGGGGCTCTATGGAACAAGATGAGAAAAATGACGGTAATCGTTGGAGCTGAGTGACAGTTACATGGGGATTCACTATACTATTCTCTGTAGTATATGTTTGAAAGGATTTCTTTGGCACATTTGTGGAACATAGAATTAATGTTAAAAACTTAAATATTCAAATCCAAAGCCTCAGAAGGTCACTTTAAAGTCCCAAACCAAGCATGAGACCAATTTCCATCAGGCTTTTTGGTTTTACCATCACATTTCTCCAATTCCTCCACCTAAGGAAAAGAACAGTAATGATGACAGCACTACAAACGTGCTTTTCATGTACTTGGTGCCCTGCCACAGTTTTATATGTATTATTTACAGGTATTCTCTCATTTAATCTTCACAATAACCCGTTGGGGGTTACATATGAAGAAGACACAGAGAAGGGAAACACCTTCCCGGATAGGAAGTGGCAGGCCCATGTCTGAATCTGGGTAGACTAATTAAAGACTGTGCTCCTCATGTCTACCCACTGTTGCCTAAAGTGAGTGTGTGCAGAGCATTATTGTTGTCTTCTACTCTTAGAGATAGAGAAGTAACCCTTTCCAGGAATACATAAAAGGACTTAGCTAAAGAAAAAAGGGATTGGTTTGGGATCTGAATGAGGGGTTAGCCTCCTGCTCCATGCACTGAGAGCCACTTTACCTTTTTAGGAATAAATAATTTGGGGAATACTGACAAATCCTGAAACTATCACATTCAACATAACAAAACCTAGACCTGGGGCTGAGGGTACACACATTATCCACACAAAGTTGGAAATAAACTTTTGTCAGCATAAATCATATGTAAAACTAAGTGTATTTTAAAACTTTACATGTACTGTTGAGGATCTGTGCCCCTCTGGAGTAGATGCTTTCTTCTTTATGGACACTGTACCATTTGTTTTCCATGCTCCTTTGGCTTCCTGAGAAGTTGTCGCTCATAGCAACATTCCCTTTATAGTTAGAATAAAATCCAGGTTCCTTGCTTGCCTACCAGAGCCCACAAGGTCTTCTTTACTGTGGTCCCTGCCTTCTCTCTGACCTCAGAACCTAGTACTTTTCTTCTTGCTGCTATAGCTCATCTGCACTGGTTTGCTTGCTTTCTTCAAACATGCCAAACACATTCCTGCTTCATAGCTTTTTGAACATTTGCTGTTCCCTCTGCTTGATATGTTTTTCCATCCACCCTCCCATTTTCTCAAATGACTCCTTCTTGTATCTGCCCTCTCCCAAAGGCTATTCCTGACCACCCCATCCGCTATCTTCTGACCTACCCCCTACCTAATCCTTTTTTACCTATTTACTCTGCTTTATTCTCTTTTTAGCATTGATCACTGCCTGGACTTACATTACATTTTTATTTGTTTACCTGTTTATTTTAAGTCCCAAGAAGGGAGGGACTTGGTGAACAATTGCGGTTTCCCAAGAACACAGAAGGTGCTCATATATGTATAATATTTGTTAAATGATCTATGTAGGACCTAATGGCATGCATTCTGTGTACTCATCTCACTTCTGACTTTATCTTCCTCCTAGTTCTCCTTTATCCTGATTTCCTCATCTATTTAAATTTATCCTGCTGTAGGAAGTAGATTTTTGTCAGCTGCCTCAAATCTTTTTTTGGATTCATACGCATGCACTTTAAAAATGGCAAAAATAGGTACTTAGCAAGCAGATGACTTGGGCCGAGTGTAATTCACCTAGTACCTTTAGTACTTACATGTTTTCAGCAAAGAAGCACCTGGCTTGCTTTTGCACCTTTTTCATCTCATCCTTTCTCCACCTCAAGTGCTGTGTTAGCATGTGCTTTCGGCCCAGGACCAGCAGCTGCACGTTCCGCTTGGCTAGTTGAGAGACCACATCCAAAAGCTAGAAAACACAAAGCCAGTCCCCAAGAGGGCCAAGGGAAGAATCGCAAGTAAATGGAATGGTTCTTCCAACTGGTAGTCTCAATGGTAAAACACTCTTTTCTGGTAACGGGTGAAAAAACATTCCTTAAAATAATTTTCCATCTTAAAAAAGAAGAAGATAGCAGAAGGGGAAGAATGAAGGTGGGGAATCGGAGGGCGAGACAAACCATGAGAGATGATGGACTCTGAAAAACAAACTGAGGGTTCTAGAGGGGAGGGGGGTGGGGGATGGGTTAGCCTGGTGATGGGTATTAAAGAGGGCACGTTCTGCATGGAGCACTGGGTGTTATGCACAAACAATGAATCATGGAACACTACATCAAAAACTAATGATGTAATGTATGGTGATTAACATAACAATAAAAAATTTTAAAAAATAATTTTCCATCTTTGTAAGCCTGGAAGAAAATGTTTTCTTATTACAAATAAATGTCTACCACCTTCCTACTAGTTAGGCTACATTTCACTGGGTCTGGGGGGAGGAGGGGTCTAAGCATAGACAAGATGAGTGGTTTTTATTTTTTTTTTTTAAAGATTTTATTTATTTATTTGACAGAGAGAGACACAGCGAGAGAGGGAACACTAGCAGGGGGAGTGGGAGAGGGAGAAGCAGGCCTCCCGCAGAGCAGGGAGCCCAATGCGGGGCTTGATCCCAGGACCCTGGGATCATGACCTGAGCCAAAGGCAGACACTTAATGACTGAGACACCCAGGCGCCCCTCTCTTTTGCATAAATAAATAAAATCTCCAAAAAAAAAAGACATGGTCCCTGTCTTTAGTGAGGGAGTGCCTATCAAGGCTAGGAAAATATATATGCTGGCTCTACATTTGTTAGGTGGTTAATAAATATTTTCTGATTAGCTGAAGAATATACTCAGTCAAAAAAGTTGCTCATTATTGAAAACTTAAAAAATATAGACCAGAAGAAAGACAAAGAAGAAACCACTCATACCTTACCACCCAAAGACTGTTAACATGTATCTACCAGTAGTTTTATTCCATACATTTTTACATAATCTTTTAAGCCATCATTTTAATAGTTAGGCTAGTAATCAAAAAGCAAACATCTACACTGTAAGAAAGTTTGGCTGATCGATTCAAATACCTCAAAAGACAATGAGAGGTGCATCTCCTTCAGAATGCACTTATAACATTCCTTTCTTTCTTTCTTTCTTTTTTAAGATTTTATTTATTTATTTGAGAGAGGGAAAGCATGAGCAGGGGGAGGGGGAGGGACATAGGGAGAGACAGGAAGGGACAAGCAGACTCCTGGAGAGCACAGAGCCCGCTGCAGGGCTCCATGCAGGGCTGGATCCCAGGACCTGAGATCATGACCTGAGAGGAAGTCAGAGGCTTAACTGCTTAGCCGACTGAGCCACCCAGGCACCCCTATAACATCCCTTTCCTAAAGCTATGCTGAGGTTACAGATTATTTTCTGTGAGCCCAATTACAAATGTCAACTCAATTCATTAAGAGGAATAACAATTACTTTTAAATTTTCCATATGAATTGCCACCAAGTTAAAGATACAAAAAAAAAAATTCAAACAAAAACATTTTTTGATACTGATTGCTTAAATTTTCATGCAACTGGGAAGACATGGCTTAAAGAAAAACACAATTGGGTCTTCAGAGCTATATGCTGGTTTAGATAAACAGCCTTGAGTTTCCTAATATTAAGTTAAAAACAGGGGCCCAGAGAAGAACAGCAAAGATTAGCTTGAACTGCTCTGGGGCACCATCTTCTGGCTTAGAGGTCTCTAGTAGCAGCAGCTCTCTCTCTGAAACAACACAAACAAAGGAGAAAAAGCGAAAGACACAGGAAAGAAAGATATGGATACAGAATAAAGGCACTGGCCTGAAACTCTGTAACAGTCTAGCTATGAGCCAACTTCCTCTGGGGTAAATTCCAGGGCTGGATCCAGTGGGCTGGGTCAGAGTCAGAGGTATACTCAGAACAGTAAAGAAAAAGAAAATTTACCTTAACTCTACGTTAGATCAAAAATAAAACTGGGAGGGATTTCCACTTTTAGGAAGATGGGAGTAGGTCTACTTTTTCCTATCTCTGCCACTAAGTACAACTAAAACCCCTAGACGTTATATAAGACAAACACAGAAAGACTTTGAAAGTCTGATGTTTCCAAAAATCAAAATGTTTTCAAACACATTTAAAATATAAAATAATAGCATAGGGGTGCCTAGCTGGCTCAGTCGGTGGAGCATGAGACTCTTGATCTTGGGGTTGCAAATTTGAGCTCCATGTTGGGTGTGGAGATAGCTTAGAAATAAAATTAAAAAAAAAAAACAGCATAAAATGAGATTTATGCCTATTTTCCACATAAAGGAAAAAAAATTCAGAAATTAAAAAAAAAAAGACTGTGAAAGGTAGAGAGAAAAAAGTCTGGCTAGGGACCTGGGGGCATGAAGAATGACATGGAAGTGAGTTCTTTTTGCCTCATACATCCTAGACTTGGAGCTGAAGAAGCCGGAAACCCAGAAATGCCAAAGACAAAAAGAGCCCAACAAAGGCCTGTTTTCTCTAGCCAAAGGACTAGAAAGAGGCCATCTGGCAATACAGAAAACTTGTTACAATGATGACACCAGCAGACAGTGATATTGTGTGTGTGTGTGTATGTGTGTGTATACATATACATACATACATATATATATGCATGTAGTATCCAAAGTCCCAGGTGCCCCTAATCTTAACATTTCAATAATAACATGAAACATAAAGGTGTTTTTTTTTTAAGATTTTATTTATTCATTTGAGAGAGAGAGAGAGCACAAGCAAGGGGAGAGGCAGAGGGAGAGGGAGAAGCAGACTCCCCACTGAGCAGAGAGCCCCGATGCGGGACTCAATCCCAGGACCAGGAGATCATCACCTGAGCTGAAGGCAGATGCTCAACCATCTGAGCCACCCAGGTCCCCCAAAATATAAAGGGCTTTAGTACACCAATTAAAAGAGGCCGGTAGATGTGGCGCTTGGGTGGCTCAGTTGGTTAAACGTCTGCCTTCGGTTCAGGTCATGATCCCAGGGTCCTGGGATCAAGTCCCGCGTCAGGCTCTCTGCTCAGTGGGGAGCCTGCTTCTCCCTCTCCCTCTTGCTCTGCCTACTTGTGCTTTCTCTCTCTGTCAAATAAATAAATAAATAAAATATTAAAAGAAATAATAGAGGCTGGTAGATGGGGTTAGAAAACATAACCCAACTATACACTATCTAAAAGAAACTCATTTCAAATATACAAATATAGGCTGGTGGAAAGTTAAAGGATGGAATAAGTTAAATCATGCAAACTATTCATCAAAGGAAGGCCAGAGTGGCTACATTAATATTAAATGAAGTAGGGTTCAGAGCAAAGAAAATGATCAGATATGCAGAGAGACATTATGTGATAAAAGGATCAATCCACCAAGAAGACATAAAAATCCTAAATGCGTGTGCACCAAACAACGGAGCTGCAAAATATGTGAAGCAAAAATTGTGAAATAGACAAATCCACAATTACAGTTGGAGACTTCAATCCTCCTCTCTCAACAACTGGGAGAAGACCTAGACAGCAAATCAGCAAGCATATGGAAGAACTCAACAACACCATCCATGTTCATGGACTGGAAGCCTCAAGACAGTAAAAATGTCAATTCTTGGGGTACCTGGGTGGCTCAATTGTTAAGCATCTGCCTTTGGCTCAGGTCATGATCCCAGGGTCCTGAGATCGAGCTCCGCATCGGGCTCCCTGCTCGGCAGGAAGCCTGCTTCTCTCCCTCTCCCCCTGCTTGTGTTCCCTCTTCGCTGTGTCTCTCTGTGTCAAATAAATAAATAAAATCTTAAAAAAAATGTCAATTCTCTCCCAAATTGATATGTGGGTTTTTAATGCAATTCCTATCAAAATCCCAGCAAGGTTTTTTGGTAGATATATACAGGATTATTATAAACTTATATGGTAAGGCAAAGGAAGAAGAATAGCTAAAACAATTTTGAAAAAAAATAAATTGGGAAGAATCAGTCTACCTCATCTTAAGCCCTATTATAGAACTAAAGTAATCGAAATTCTGTGATATTGATAGAGGGATAGGCATACAGATCAACAGAATAGAACAGATGACCCAGAAGTAGACCCACACAAATATGCCAAGGAAAGATAACCTTTTTAACAAATGGTGCTGAAGCAATTGGACATCCATAAGTAAAAAATAAACCTCTATTTAAATCTCATACCTTAGGGCGCCTGGGTGGCTCAGTTGGTTAAGCGACTGCCTTCGGCTCAGGTCATGATCCTGGAGTCCCTGGATCGAGTCCCGCATCGGGCTCCCTGCTCGGCAGGGAGCCTGCTTCTCCCTCTCCCGCTCCCCCCTCTTGTGCTCTCTCTCTCTCTCACTCTCTCTCTCAAATAAATAAATAAAATCTTTTAAAAAATAAATAAATAAATAAATCTCATACCTTATATAAAAAATTCAATCAAAATAGACCATGGAATTAAATACTAAACATAAGCTATAAAGTTTTAGGAAAAAACCTAGGTGAAAAATCTTCATGATAGAGCTACACAGAATTCTTAGACTTGACATCTAAGACATTGTCTAAAAAAGGAAAAATTGATAAATTTTTGAAACAAGGAAAAATTGATAAATTTTGAAATTTTTGAAACTTTATGAAAGGCCCTGTTAAAAAGATGAAAAGACAAGTTACAGACTGGGAGAAAATACTTGTAAATCACATATTCAACAAAGAAGTGGTTTCTAGAACACATCAAGAATCTCAGAACTCAACAGCTAAAAAAAAAGCAAACTATCCAAATAAAACATGAACAAAGCCCTTTTGGGGCACCTGGCTGGCTCAGTTGGTAGAGAATGTGACTCTTGATCTTGGGATCGTGAGTTCCAGCCCCACCTTGCACCAAAGAAGACATACATGATATACAAGCATATGAAAAGATATCCAACATTACTAGCCATCAGG